GGCGTGCGGCAGAGCCCGCCTGGAGCGCTCGGCTCGCTTTCCTTCCCAAAGAACAGAAATAAAGCTCGGGAATGCGGGGCTCCTCATGCAGCTTTTTACAGCAAGCAGCGCTCATGCAGGGAGGGAGAAACTGAGGCACGGGGGTGGTGCCTGTGCTGAGGGGGGACTGGGCCCCCCACACATCCCATTTTTCCCCTGGGACGTGCCAGGTATTCTCCTGTGCCCCTCTCCTCCCTCCCTCTGCTTCTCCCCAGGCTGCAGCTCTCCACCTCAATTAGCAAACGCTCCCTCTCTGACTAATTACTGTGCTACTGTCTTTATGCATTATTATTGTAATGATTATTAATTATTACAATCCTCTCCCGTTCCTGCCACGTTGGCTGTGGCCAGTCGAGAACGGCGCTCTTGTTAGGGTGATTTATCCGCGGGAATTCCCGGCCGGGTTTAACACCCGCGGGCTCCGAGGTGCTCTGACATGCGGAGGGGATGTACCCCATCCTAGAACCCCTAAGATCCCCTTTTTTCCTCCATCCCACTCTTTTCCCTGTTCTTTCTTTCCCCCAGGCTTTCCTGCTCTCTCTGTAGCGCTGTGTTTGCCTTTAGCCCTTTGCTGTGGCGCCTCCTGGGGTTCTTTTTGTGTCCTCCCAGCTTTTCTCCCCTTTCCTTCCTCCCATTCCGGGTGATTTTGCTGGTGCGGTTCCCCTGCTGAGCCTGTGCCCGGTGCGTTGGGCAGGGAGAGGAGCATTTTGCCGTCCCCAACCCCTCTCATCCTCCTCCCTTTGCAGCAGGAGGGTGCCAGCCCCAGGAGCAGCTCGCCCACATCTCCCCACAAATCCTGACCTGAAACCCCTCCCTGCCTCAGCCCCTGCCCTGCACCTTCCCAGGTGCTCGGTGGAGGCCAAACCCCCATAAATCACAGCTCTGCCACTCCATCGTGAGCAATACCTTATGTAAAAAGGTGTTTCCAGGGAGCACCGAAGGCTGGAGAATCCTATTACGAGGCACACTATTAATTATAGGGAGTCAGCCCAACCTACTCGGGCTATTTTTTATCCCAGGTCCAAAACCTGATTACTTTCCACCTTCTGCAGACCTTCCCCCTTCCCAAAAAAAAAAAAAAAAAAGGCAAGAAGGTCAGGAAAAGAAAAGAAAAACAAAATGGAATAGCTTTTAGGAGGAATTTATTCCCATTATTCTGTTTGAGGGGGAGTCAGGGCAGTCAGGAGCTCCCCATGGTGATTCCTCAGCACAGAAGAGTCATTGCTGAGGTAGGTACAGGCAGAATGGGAGGTTTGGGGTGACCCAGTGAGGAGATTTCCCTCTCCTTGTCTTCACCTGGGAGCCATCTGGGGGTTTGGATGTGCCTGGGACACCCCTAAGGGTGACCTGTGTCACTCTGCAGCTGGGGACAGGCAGGAATCCTGAGTGTGCTGCCTTCCTGGCACCTCTGGGCTGATGGGACCCCGGGCTGGGCTCCTGCACCCAGCTGGGAGCTGCAGAGCTGCTCTGTGCCAGGGCATTGTTCCTTGGGATCTTCCCTGCTTGGATGGCTGCTCCTGCTGAGTCCCATCCTCTGGGAGCTTGGAGCATCACCCCCATCCCTCCTGCAGCCTCCTCTGCCCAGGCCTCACCCAGGTCTCTCTCCTGGGGTGTCCCAGCAGCCTAAAAACAGCCCTCAGCTCCATGCCTTGAATTCTGAATTAATAATAAAATAATAATAATATTAATAATATCCAGTGTTCACCCAGTGATTCACCATTTTTTACTCCCCAAAATGATGCTGTGAGTGGGTTATTTACTAACACATCACCCTGCCCTTATTAAAATTCCTCATTGCCTGCTAATTCTGACAGCCTGGGAGTGCTGGAGCAGCCAGCTGTGCTCCTGCCTCAGTTTCCCCGTTTGGGAAAAGGGGTGAAGGTGTTTTTCCTGGAGATGGGGGTGAGGGAACCCCAATGTCTGTGCTGGCCCCAGCTTCTGGCTGAGGGGGCTCAGTGAGGCTCCTTGGCCACCCCGTTATTAATGCCAGTAATGGCACAGGAAGGATAAATTCCAGCACTTGGCTGAACAGAGAAAATATGCAGAGCTGTGGCTGGCTTTCCATAAATCATCGCTGCTCCCTGCTACAACCGAGCCAGGACTTAAAATTCAGGTCAGGAGAGAGGGACTCTGGTAAGCCAGCAAGGGAAGGTAATTTATTCTGTTTATATCGTTTTACTGCAAGACAAGGAGCAGGGGGGCTGGTGGTGGTGGGGGGGGGGGGTGAAAAACTCTGCCATGATTTTGCATTTTAAATATTAGTTCAGAGCTGCAGCCTGCCTGGGACTTTTTATTTTTATATCTGAAGGGATAGAAAGCAGGAGAGAAGGGCAGAGAGCTGGGGTGCTGGGGAGGAAATCCCACAGGGAAAATGGGGCAAAAGCTGCTGCTGGCGCTGCTGAACCCCATCTTGGGGTGTCCCCCATTGGGGCTGCTCTGGGAGGTCCTTGGGTGCCCCCCAAGAGAAGGAAATTGTGCATTGTGCTGTCTGAGCTGGGTAATGTGCCCCTTCCCAGTGCCGGGGAGCTGTGGGACTGGGGGAAACTGGGGGGCACTGGGGAGGGATGGGGATGCAGCAGCATCACCTTGTGCAGGTGCACATCCCTCACCCAGGGCAGCGCTGGGGGAGCCCGGCCAGCGTTCCTCAAGGGCTTGTGTTAAAACAAATCCAAATAAAGTAAAATGAAAGGGACCAGGTGACCGAACAGTAGGTAACTAAAAGGTTTTTTATTCACATCGAACAACAAGAGCCATTCACACTAACAGCCTCCGCAAGAGGCAGCGGGGACAGGAAACCCACGACGCTTTCAGAAAACAACTTTTTTTTTTTCTTTCCTTTTCCATTCTCCTTCCTTTTATTCCCCCCCTCTCTCTATGCTCTCACCCCCCTCCCCGGCGCCATCCCCTCCCTGCCTTCAAAATAGAAAAAATTCGGAGCCTCCGATGACTAAAGTACAATAAATAATCAGTAAACACAAAAACATACTTTATTTGTTTCTCCTTTATACAAAATAAAGAAACTAGAAGCAAAAACTATAATACATCCTTAAATTGGAGGAGCCTCTGGGAATCGTTGGGGCGGGACTCGGCGTCGAGGCTCGGGTGAAATTTCTGCTGCTGTGCTTGGCTTGGTTTAGTTCGGGGGTTTATTGTTTGTTTGGGGTTTTATTTTGTTGTTGTTGTTGTGGATTTTTCCTGTTTCTGGTGTCTGTTCCACCACGTGGGAGCCCAATCTCAGCCAGCCACTGGGGCCTGGCCCCGCTCAGCCCCATCGTCCCCACCGCTCCAAAATCCGGCTCCAAACCCACCTTCCCCTCGGGGGTGAAACGGGAACAATAAAAACGAGGCCAGGGAGGGGCCACGGGGGGGTTATTCCTGCTATTCCCCATTCCCCCCTTGCTGTGGTGGGGGATAATTAAAAAGGACGCTAATGAGCAGGGGCAGCCCTGCCGCAGCCCCTCCCCCGGTGNCGGGCTGGTGGCAGTCAGTGGCCCCGCGTGGGATGACGTGCCACCCTTCCGCTGGAGCACGTCCCCCTGCAGCTCCCTGCTGCACATGGGCCACCCCGACCTCTGGACCTTCCCCCCAGTCAAGGTCCACTGGGACTGAGCAGGCGCTGGTCCTGTCCGTCCATCTGTCCTGTGGGGGATCCCTCTGAGGCGTTTCAGCCCTGTCAACAGGGTCCCCCCTGTTCTTTCTGCCTCTGGGGATCCTGGCTGTGCTGCACAAGCCCAGTGTGTCCCCTCCCTGCTGTGGGGCTCTCCAGGCTCTTCCCTGGGTGCTGATGCCTGGTTTGGGGGGCTCTCCCTGGAAAAGGGGCATCCTGGGAGGCTGGGGCTTGCCCCCAGTGTGGACAGGAGGGCAGTGAGCTGGTTTGGCTGTGGTAAATAATAAAGTGCTCTGTGCTGGTGGCTGTGCTTTGCCCTCTGCTGAGGCTCTCTGGTGGCTTTGTTAGGGATGGGCTCACTCGGGGGTCTTGCCCCCTCCCCATTAACAGGGTGATCTCCTCTGCTGGTGGGAGGGCCTGTGCCCAGTGAGACTTTTGGGGTGCAGGCTGTGCAGGGCTCTCTGCTGTGGGATGGGGGAGTCCCCCCAGGAGTCAGAGACCATCCTCATCCTGCCTTTTGTGTTCCTCTCCTCTGGCACCTGTGTGCCCCGTCCCCAAAAGCTGCAAAATCCTCTTAGGCAGCTCCCTTGATCCGCTCTGGCTCGTTAGGAATAACGAGGTCATTACTGGGGGATTAATGAGCTGTGCCTCGGCAGAGCTTTGAAGGCACTGGGTTCCCACCGGGGCTGGGGGGCCCTGGGGGCTGCAGGGGGGTGAGAGGGAGCAGCTTTGGGCTGTTGGGGTGCTGGCCCCCCAAAAACTAGCATGGGTGCCCTGGGGAAGGTGGGGTGTCTGTGCCCTGCTGTGCTGGGACAGATTGCAGGTAAGCCTGTGTCCCCATGGTGGGGGGGCTGCTTTTGGGCTCCCTGTGCCTCAGTTTCCCCAGACATATGGGGAGGTTCCTTCTTGAGCAGCAAAGAGGAACAGGCCATGCTGGAAATGCCACAGTGTTGCTGATTCCCTTTTTTTGTTTCCTTAAACATGGAAAAACAAACAAAAAGTTGTTAAAAACTATCCCAGCTGCTGCCACAGTGTCAGCCAGGGACGCTGGCCAAGGGAAGTGAGCAGGTGACAGCCTGGCATGCCCTCCTCATGGCAGGGATGGAGCCAAGGGGAGCAGGACAGGCACAGGGAGGTGGGTTTGGGGTGCAAAGGGACCCTGGAGCACCAGGGGCTGAGCTGGGATGTGGGGTGTCCTCCCAAGGGGGTCTCCAGCCTCACCCCTGTGAGCTGGGACAGGCTCCTGCTGCTGTCCCACCCTCATGGAAGCGGCTGCATGAGGTGAGGGGGTCACTCCAAAGGCCCCAGAGGGACTGGAGCTGTGTCCCCTCAGTGCCCCTATTCAGGAAATCCTCCTCATTTCCCCTGTGTCCCTAAAGCAGTGTGGTCCTGAAGAGGGGCAGTGCTGTGCTCTGTGCTGCTCTCAGGAGCCCAGGGATGTTCTGTTGGCCCCAAAGCTCAGCCCCATGAGGAGTGGGGCAGCCCCAGAGCTCTGTCCCTGCTCTCTGCCTGCCAGCACTGCTGCTCTGGGGAGGTTTGCAGCCCAGTTTGGGTCAGGGCACTGAAATCCCATGTTGTGTTTTCACTTCTGTGTGCTTGGCACTGGGGCAGAGCTGGCACACTGTGGGGCTCCCAGTGCTCCCAGTTTGGCCTGTGTTGGTGCCAGTGCAGTGTCCCTGGCACTGGGGCAGAGCTGGCACTCTGTGGGGCTCTCAGTGCTCCCTGTTTGGCCTGTGTTGGTGCCAGTTGTGTCCCTCCCTCAGGACTCCTTGTGCCCTCTGCTTCCAGGCTGCTCCAGCTTGCCAAGAACCACAGAGGAGCCTCCTGCGGCTGCGGGGCTGCGGGCCAGGGCTCGCCCTTCCTCCAGATCCCACCCTCCTCCTCCTTCTCCTCCCTGCCTGCTGTGCACAGAACCAGCCCCTCCGAGCAGAGGTAGGACTTTTACCAGGGCTGGGTGACAAGGAGGGGTCCCAGAGGGAGGGAGGGGGCTCTGCCTGCTCTGCCTGGGGGCTGCTGGGCCTTGGGTCTGGGCCAGCCCCTGCCTGGGTCACTTTGGACAGCCCCTCCCTAAGGGATCTTTGTCCATGGGGTGCCCACATGGCCAGCTGGATGGGGGGCTCATCCCGGGGGTCTCACCCAGCTGGAGATGGGAACCTGGGAGAGGATTGAAGGGCTGCCATGGGGTGGGGCTTGGCAGGGTGAGCAGAGGGGTGTGATGGCTGTTTGGAGGCAATGAGAGGAATTCTGGCTGGGTTTTGGGGTGTGCAGGCTGCCCTGGCTACACCAGGGCAAAAATCCTAAAATCTGCTGGTACGTGTTTTTGTGTGGACCAGATAATACCCAGTGCAAACCCTTGAGGGCCCCCAAACTCATTTGTGAGCTGCCTCTCCTCTTCCCCGATCTCCTGGGAGCCCACATCCCGTCTCAGGGCATGTGAGAGCTGGCAGGGCCACACGTGTTTGTCCCCGCGGGTCACCGGCTGTAAAACCCGCCCAGGGCTGAGCAAACAGCGAACGCCAGGGCAATGTCCAAGCCCTGCCCCCTGCCCGGCTGAGCACGGCGACCTGGGGACACCGGCACGGCCCCTCAGACGTCACCTGTCCCTCTGTGTGTGGGTGAGGACAAGCAGGGACATCTCCCGGGACAGCAGGTAACCCCAGCCTGGGGACAGCCCATGGCACAAGCAGGTAACCCCAGCCTGGGGACAGGCCAAGCTGTGCACCTGGGGACACCGGGGCTGGGGACACCGCCAGGGTGCAGGAGGGGGTGGCACAGCCTGTGCTGGGATCCTCCAGGGAGAGCTGCTGCATCCTAGAGACGGGAGGGGACACTGGGGACAGCCCTGTCCTTATCGGAGCAGCTGGTGACTCCACCGCCTGTCCCTGGCAGAGCATCCCCTGCTAGGCCATGGCAGCCCAGCCGGCCGGGGGCCAGAAGCCCCAGAAGCCCTTCCACATCGTCACACCCGTCCTGGAGAGCCTGTCCCTCTCCAAGGCCGCGGGCACCAAGGTCTTCATGAAGATGGAGAACGTCCAGCCCTCGGGATCCTTCAAGATCCGGGGCATCGGGCACCTGTGCCAGGCTGTGAGTGTGGGCACGGGG